GCGGTACGGAGCGGTGCGTCATCACACGTCTGAAAAAAAGTTGAAAATTCTCCATGGCTCAGAATGGTACTTTATATGTTGTCGAATCCAGAATCTATGTTTTCTCTTCGAACCCAAAAAAGTCGCAACAGTCAATGCTACTTCATATGATTCGTTATCTTCGTCTTTAAATATAGACAATTATTTACTAAATACTCACGTTACATAAAGAAGAAAAAACTAAGAAAGAAGTACTGGGTGCGTCCTTATTTGCAAACACGAGAGAGCAAACAACGAATTCCATTTTACCAGACGTAACACGTACACACACTCAATGGCGGGCAGCCGCAGACTGAACCGCACGGTGCGTATAGCAACCGTCCGGCTGGCCGTCACTCGGGCCGCAACCTAACGAGCGACCGGAGCGGTCTGCGGGTAGCCGCATCGCAGTGCGCATAGAAATGAATATTACGTAATAATTGTGGTTGCGGTCATCAGGTCCTCCTTTTTTTATTTATTTTTTTAAGGGGGGAAAATCATCAAATTACTGCTCCCGCCTGGGTGAGGCGGGAGGGAGTGTCAGACTCTTACTGACTAAAAACCACCCCGAGTCGGAGCCCTGGTTACTCGTTAGGTTCTCCGCGACTCCGAATCGGCATCGGCCCTATTGGGCCCCATCTGTAGTGGTCTGATGGCTCTTTGAGGCACGCGCGGAACGCGACGCGCCATACGCTCGGGTCTGTTTCTGGTCGGACGGGGAGCCACCCATGCTCGCCGTCCGCAGGCCCGCGCTTACGGTGGCCGGAGATCGTCCCGCGATCCTCGACGCCCGGTGTGTCCTTCGCGACAGCTCCGCCTCCTCCTTAGCTAGCATGACTGCTTCGCAAAAGGAGGAGACCAGTCCCCCGCGCTCCGCATCATGGCCTGCACTAGGCCCGGACGCGAGAGGTCGCCATCGCCGATCACTTCCCTGAGGGCACGGCGGTGCTCAGCCCACGCAAGGCATTCTCCCACTGTGTGTTCCACCGTGTCCTCAGAGCGGTCCTCGCAGTGATGATACCCTGGCGTTTCCTCACGCCCCATCAGACACAGGTACCTCCCGAAACTTCCATGTCCGGTGAGGACCTGCGTCAGGCGGTAGGCGAGGACGCCGTAGCGTCTCTCAAGCCACTCCTCAAAGAGGGGACTTACCGCTGCAATGGCAGCGAGCCCGAGCCGGACGGCTAGCCGTATTGCGGCTACCCGCATAGGGCGTATGAACACTAACTAAGTGCAAAAATGCGCGATTCCAAAAGTTTGCTTCTCTCCGCCAAGCTCCGCTTCAGTGGAAACACTGACCACTTTTCAGCGCTCTCCTCCGCTCCTCTCCCATCAGCTCTGCGTCAGTGGAAACGCGGCCTTAGGCCTGTGCCTTAAATTTTGCGGGCAGCGTGGCGGTGACGGCGGCGAAGGCGGCGCGGCGTTCATCACTTGACTGGAGTACACCGTTCGTTGCACGCCCCCGCGCCGTTGCCCCGCCGCTGTTTTGAGAACTGTTGCTCGCGACTTCGTCCACGACAATATGAATAGAACAACGTTTTTATTTTGTTTCAACTTTCCTAAATAAAAGTATGTACCGTAAAATGGGGTGAATAGGGATCGAGAGGTGGATAGGAACAGAAGAGGGGTGAATAGATGTAGGGAAATTCTTCATAGTGTTGATTCACCCCTCTTCTGTCCCTTTTCGCCGTTCAAATTCAAACCCTATTCACCCCATTTTACCGTACGTAGGTAGGTAGGTAGCTAAATTTTACTTCTTAATATCAGTTAACATCAGTATTAAGCACGAATAATTATCGCATTCGTAACGTAAAGGTGTAATAAGAGTACCTATAATAAGTAGAGGTGCTCCTTCACCGGGAGCATTCACGTGTAATGTAACATTATAGATTCGACTTTGAGCATTACATTACAATAATACCTCCCTGAATAACGAGCATTTGCGTGTACGTAATGTAACATATTGATTCGACTTTGAGCTGAGTGGCTAGCACGAAAACTATCGAGAAAGTATTCGTATCGACATCGAAAGCATTTTCTATGGGATTTGTACAGCGCCCCTACCGTGCGTAAAAGGAACTACACGACGCAAGCACGAATGATTTTGACAACTATCGTATCGTAATCGTATCGTGTTGCTATCGAAACTTAGAACATTTTGACACAAATTGGAAGCACGAACGATCTTTTGACAAACGGTAACGTAAATTTCGAAGGCTGGCTATCGAAAACTGTCAAGTGTCAAAACATTTGTCACTTAGAATTTGCCGGTGAGAAAGGTTTCGAAACATTTTAAAATTAAGATTTTGTGACAATTATAAATTAAAATGAACTAAAACAAGTAGTGTGCGTATGAAATGATTCATC